CTTCACCTCTCCTTCACCATATACCCTTCATTGTATTGCATTCCATGTTTCTATAACCTTTCCCAGATTGTTGGCTAGGAGTAGGTCTCTCACAACACAGGATGCATGCCTTGTACTGCTCTGCTGATGAAAAAGTTGTGAAGTGTTTGTATAACTGCAAGCTTAAAAGATGAGAATACATAAGCAAATATCTTGGTTTATAACTGGTTAATGACATCTGTTGCCTCGTTGGACAATTCCTCTTTGATCTGGAATAAAGAATCAATCCAGTCTTTTTTTGACATAGTATGTAAAGTAAATTTTCTAAGGAAGACTTTTCCTCTGGGACGTCTGTGTCATTGTATGTTTGAGGGTTTTCTGTAAATGTAACCACTTCCAACCTTTGTCTATTAGTATCCAAAGCTATATATGAAAGCGCCTCTTCACCCAAACCATTTTCTTTGCCTCTTAACATTTATCCCTTTTATATCTCCCATCCATCTTTCAAAAAAACCCATCACCCCATTTTGCCATCTCTTTGCTTAACCTTTTGCATTCTCTCCATATTCTTCCACCTTTTCTCCTGACATTACAGATCCATTTTCTGCTATACTTCCATTATCTACATTTCCGCTGGACCCCCCCTTCTTTTTCTACCCCCTCCTTTTTGATGCCTCAACACCCTCTTCCATTCCCATCTCTCTGTCTTCTTAACTTGACCAGTCATCACTCTTCTTTCTAGCCACCGCCTCCTCGCATTTTCCTTACTCTTTATCCTTTCATCTGTTCCATCTATGCGTGTTATCATCCCATTTTTCTTCTCTCTGTCAAACCAAAATCTCATCCCTCTATCCTCGAGCGACACTCTATATCCTCATCCCTTTTTGCCACATATTATTTGTTCATTCCTCACCTTTTACTTTTTCTGACCCTTTCTCGGCCTGATTCTTCTTCACTATGAGGCCAAACAGAGCCGTACAGGTTGGCCCTATTGATTTCTGCATGGAAAACAGCTTATTGATTATAGCTTAGTAATTAGATGGAGGAATAATAGGGTATATATCCTGAAAGTATTCAGGACATAAATCCATAGGGTCTCTAAGTTAGTGCATGTGTGTTTATATATGTATTCACATTGACTTGTGTGTTAGTGCGTACACACATGAATGAAAGTGTGTGGTCATGCTAGCTTTAATGGTAAGTGCAGTGGAGGGGTGTAATTATAATGTTGATTGCTGAGCTCACTGATCCTGTGTGATAATATTCATAGCAGCCTAATGACCACATTAATTACACTATAGATTCTGTAATTATGATAATCCCCAGATTCTACTAATCCACCACACTGTACATTTAGAGAAAGAGTTTGATGAATCTAGCCTCATAAGAGTAAGAGAAAGAATTATGATTTTCAAAGATGAAGTGTTTGATATGTGCGCATTATTACGCCAGTGATTAAAGAACAACTGATTTTATTCTTCTCCCTTTTTAATGCTAGTGTAGTATCACGACCCTAATGTGTTTACCACACTGAGAATCAGAGACTGTGCACCTCATAGTTGCTTTAAGAATTCTTTTTGAAAAAGTTGAAGGACCACAGAGCTTTAATTATAAGATTAAGCTTCATCTGTTACTTCATGACTCAACTGACTGCCATTGTTAATGGTGACGATTGAGTTTTTTCCATTAGAGCACACTGCTGCATTTCCCTTGGCAGCAATGGAGATGAAAAGTAGAACTTTAGAAATAGTTAATTAAAATTAGTCTCTAAATTCTTGTAAGTTTTGGCAGAGGAGAACTTCTGCTGACAGCTCCAGTTGTAACACAATAACTATTTGGAGAGGGAAAAAAAAAAAAACTGGAGATGAGATGCATACCATTTGTCATCAGATGTTTCTGCAATTAAATCAGCAAAATCGTTGTTTGAGAATAACTGCAAAATGATGTTGCTGCATAATAATTATTTCTGATTTTGAAGACTGCACAATTTCAATTTTCTCTGAAAACTTAAAAAACTAAACTTGCTGTTTACCATAAATGTGCAGTGTTATGCAAAAGTCTTGAGCTACTCCTCATTTCTTTATATTTTGCTAGTTAAAATATGAAATGTGTGCAGTGATTTATTGAAGTTTATTGATTGATTGAATAGAAACAGAGTATATCTGGCAAAAACAGAGTTCTAATGAGCTTTGAAGTTAATAGTTGGTATCACTACCTTTATTCTTCAACATGCCAAGATGATCCCACACTGCTTCAACAATGTTGAGGTTAGTGCTTCAGAGTGGCCAGTCCACGACTTCCAGTGTTCCAGTGTGTGTTTCTATACGTCAGCCTTTTTGTCCTGTTTCCCTTCTTTAAGAATTGGTTCTTGACATCCACATTTCCACTTATAACAATCCCGATGAGGCTTTAGTGAACACGAGACAGATCAACTAAAGAGCCTGATGTAACTCTCAGGTTGCGTGCCAGGTCTCTGCTGGATTTTTTCCCTATTTCTTGGGGACATGGCTTTTAGATCTGATGTGGATAGGTCTGTCACTTCTTTTTGTCCTCCATTTGTCCAGTTTTCTCACATTTTTCAAGGATGCACTATATAGCATGCTGAGATATGTCAAGTTTTCAACTAAAAGTGCTTTGGGAATCACCTTGTTGGTGCAAAAATACTCTCATGCCTGTCAGACTATGTTATCTCTGGCATAGATGTCCCTGATCTCATTTGATGAGATTAACTAAGAGGGGGTAGCATATAAAGATAACACATGCAGTTTAATGACAATGGTTTAAAGGGAAATGCAAGATTTTCTGTATTGTATCATATTTTTGGAGGAGTAGAGATTGAGTTGAATAGTGATGTGGATGGGCTATAGGGAAAAGGGAGTTAGAAGGTTGGGACAGGTTAAGAGTAAAAGAGTGGGAAAGAGTTGTGGAGGTGAAGTTTTAACAAGAGGCACTCGCAATGTAAGATGGAAAGAAAAGAGAAACCTTAAGAGAGTGAGGGACTGCAAGGCTAAGAAAGCATGAAAGTGGACAGAGAAGTGAGAAAGAGGCCCAGCTGTATCTGCATCTACTGTGTGTGTGTGCGAGTGTGTGTGTGTTCATAATGTGAATGTTTTCTGGGCTTATGTAACCCTGGGCACCACGTGTGTTTGGAAGCGGGACGCAGCTGTGGTGTGTGACGTGTTTGATGGCACGCACAGTGCAGCAAACCTTCACTTATTCATTACACGCACATGCACACACATACAAGGATGTATGTAAAATTCATGACCTTTAATGGACCTGTGCTTTCAGTGAGAAGAGGATATGAACCAAAAGACACTGAATGCTGACTTAGTGATAGGATGGAGTCCTCTGGTCTGGCTTTTTACAGCCTTCTACTGGATTGTATATTTTATTTTTTAGCTGTTGCGGGGGTTCATTTAGAAGTGGTTTAACTTTAAATGACATGTTTACACAGTTTTTTGTTACCTCTGTCATGTACTGTATAATGCTGAACTTTTGATACACACAGCCTTTCAATAGGCAGCTCACATCACTGCCCCTCATATCAAATCAGACTCGTGTTCCGGGAGAGATAAAACACTTTCCATGGCAAGCCATCTTTATTTACTAAGAGTAAATGGAGGGTCTGTTTCACACAGCAGATGACACCAGTACATAATGGAAAAAAACGCTAATCTTTCAGACAAAAGGGAATGTTATTCTATTCTTTTTTTTTTAATCAAATCCTGAGCCTTACCCCAAATATTTTCCTTCCTATATGAGCAATAATCCCTCCTCCGTCTCAGTCCAATACATCTTCTTAAAATATATTTTCAAACTGTATAATAATAATGCTACATACACTAATATTTCACAACAAGTACCTCAGATTTTCCCTCACCTATTTATGTAAAATGGTTCATATCACATCATTAAAATCAAAATTATTGTTCAAAAATTTATTTAATATGAAGGCAAAAGGTAAAAGTAACCTTCCAACACTGGCGCTTGATTATAATGATATTGTTGGTATAAATGCTTCTATACCCACCATAAAGCCTCTGGACTGTTGTATATCAAATTGCATGACAGTTCATTCAAATTGAGTACGCATTGTATTTTCTTACAAACTGCTCATGAGCGACCTGGGATAACTAATAAATCTAAATAATTATCTTATTTTTTTTCTTTCATAGGTCCCCCATCCCCTCCCAGAGACTTGACCTATACTCTGAAGCAGTCCACGCTGATCTTGGACTGGGCTGCTCCGTCCGACACAGGTGGCAGGGTGGATTTGACCTACAGTGTGGGATGCCGGAAGTGCATCGGGAGGCAGTGTGAGCCATGTGGGGCTAGCGTTGGATTTGTGCCTCAGCAGGTTGGCCTGACAGAAAGAACTGTGACTGTGGTCAATCTTCTTCCCAACACCAATTACACATTTACTGTAGAAGCCTTGAATGGAGTGTCAGAGCTGCTGCCCAACAAGAGGTTCTACACACAAGTCAACGTGTCTACAAGCCTGCCTGGTAAGTTTAATTTCAACCTTCAAAAATAAGCACAAACATGTAAATGGAAAACATTTAAATTGCACTTAAATGTGGCACACTCCGAAACCAAAAAACAAACGACAAAGAATGCACCTTTTAAAAGATATTGCATTTTATACTCAGTAGGGACCAACAAGGACACGTCTGACATCAGGCAACAGTATGTGTGAAAAATAGATGAACTTTAAATAAACTTGCACTACATGCGTTTCCAGTTTTGAATACTTTTTAACTCCACTTGATTTTGACTGAATTTTTAGTGGTTTTACAAAGTTTATGTCATCATTTTATCTGGTCAGACAAATTCTACGACTTTATTCATATTTTCGACATAAGAAAATCCTCTAAAAAATCATTTTGACCCCTATTTGGTAAATGGTAAATGGACTGGTTCTTATATAGCGCTTTTCCACTCTTCTGAGCACTCAAAGCTCTTTACACAACTTGTGCATTCACCCATTCGCACAAGCACAACTGACATTCACACACATTCATACTCCGATGAATGCATCGGAGAGCAATTTCGGGTTAGTGTCTTGCCCAAGGATATTTGGCATGCAGACTAGGGGAAGCCGGGAATCGAACCACCAACCTTCCGATCAGTAGATGACCTGCTAGAGTTTGAATGTTTTGCTTGGAAATAACGCATGCATTTTTTATGATATCACCGCAATCCGCTTTTACTTCTGCACACAACAAAAAAAGACATACACACAGATCATATTTATGTGCACTTTGTACTCTGTAAAACCCACTGTGACCTTTGCCTACAGCAAAATGCAGATTTACTGACATGGCATTCAGAAGCAATGTGTATTCTGTAGTGATTTGAATTTCTGTGTATTCTTTGAAAAAAGCACAAACTTCAATCATACACCCTTATACTGACAACATGTCTGTTGCTGCAGACAGGGCAGAAATTCTCATTGGTAGGGGAGATCTCATTTTCATCAGCAGAAGTTTTCAGCAGGCCATTAGCCAGAGGCTTGAAAAGCACTTTACCAAGTAGCCTTGTCACCCAGCACCGCAATAGCACTCACTATTTGGAGGAGCTCAAGTGTGAAAAGACCAAAACACACACATACACACACTAAAGATGTACAAGCCTACTTTCTGGCTTGAATGCTGACAAACATTCTTTTGTAAACAAACGTACACATGACTGTGCATGTTATACCGCCGCGCATATCTTTGAAAATGTTTGAGATCTTTGTTTGCGAAAGCTGAAGGAAATATGAATGATGAACATAATGATGCAAATGAAACATGGGTGGAAGATGGAATGAAAGGTGCTGTACAACAAACTATCTGATGGAGAAACAATGAGAGTGAGAATGGCAGAATGTGCTTTTGCCATTAATTGGAAAGTAGCTTAGAGAAATGGGCTGAATGATGAATGCTGTGCAGCATCTGTGAAGGCTGCAGGACTTGCTATGAATTTCCAGGTATTAAGTTCAGGATATATACTGTAAGACTTTATCGTGGGAAAATGGGTTAAGCTTTTGGATCGTTGTTATATTGAAAGTGTGGTTTTTGACTGAGGCATGCATCTAAGAATAAAAAAGAGAGTATATTTAACCTCCTAAGACCCAAACTCTTCCATGGCATGCATTTTTAATTTCTGTTTGATATTTGGGCATGTTGGGACCTGATGAATGTAAAAACAATGAATTTTGGGGGTTTTTTTTACCTGATTTTTGTTTCTGAGAAAAATGAGATCAACATATGAGGACATTTGTTAAAAATTTCGATAGAACAGTGGCAGTGTGATGTCCTCGTAAGTGGATATCAGGCCCTTGTAGCTCAAAATTTAGTATTTTGGTCTAGACAACCCAAAATGTGATGTCCACATATGCGGATGCCAGGTCCTAGGAGCTTAAGGAGATTTATGTTGAGTGTTTAAAAACAAATGTGTTTCTCAGGATCTTCTTTTTTGGACCAGCTTAAACTTGTATATAACACGAGTGATGGGCTGAAGCACAATTATGTGTATGAGAACAAAGCACTGACATCACTTACTTGATTTGGGAGCTTGGGAAAAATTTGTATTTAGTGAAGGTTGTAGTTAATTCTTCTTCATTAAAGAGCTTGCATTCTACCGTTTTCTCATTTTCACTTTATAGTTGAACAGTGCTTCAGCATTAAGGGTCAGACAGGCTCAGACTCATTCAGAAAAGAAATCTAGCAGACACAGAACAATCTAGACATCACATTTTAGGTTCCCTATAAATCTAAATCCATTGTTCAGTCTGTGTTTACCTGATTTCTCCATCCATGAAGTTGTTACTCTGCACTTGGAGCCAGTTATCTTGGCAGAAGAGTGGACATTATAGTCCTAATTTTCCACTCCTGGAAACAGTTTTCTCAGAGCCTGACAGGATTTTAGGGCCTCCCCAACCCGGACGAGATTCTATATAATCGCACCTTCATGTATTGGGATTAGCTTAGATCAGTGTTTACCAGTGTTGGGTAAGTTACTTTAAAATAGTAACTTAGTTACATTACTAGTTACT